AGGAAGGAAGGAAGGAAGGAAGGAAGGAAGGAAGGAAGGAAGGAAGGAAGGAAGGAAGGAAGGAAGCTTTGGGCTTGGCCTCCCTTTTTGCATAAGAGCTCTTCTTTTCCTGCTACGTTTCTTTCTTTTGATGAGAAAAAAACATTTCGACGCTGGAATTGTGGTCGCCATTAAGAGTGTGTCCGCTGACCAATCTACTGCGGTACAAAAATGGTTTGTTTTAAGATCGACCTAAAGTAAACAAGTTCCATTCCAAGTTTTGACCGACATTCTCTTTTGTTAATTAACGAATTTTGATCGTTCACCTTTCTTTTTACAGAAAAGAGAGGATCTCCCTGCTTATGCGCTGCAAGTCAGCATGGAACATTCTGGTTCTGGAGGTTCAGCTGTCCTGATGGATATGGCTATAGAGGAGGTTGTAGCTTCTTCATGGGATATTGTTGTTACAAATAATAAAAACACAGTAAACCCAATGTTGTTTATCCAGGAGCATGTTATGGATGTTAAAATAACCTAAATCAAGAGTATGTTAAACGAATTAGAAGAAATCGTTGTAATACGAATTAAATAATACGATTTAAGAACAAAATGGATATCAAAATAATAAAACTATCGAGGAATAACAATTGTTTTGTACTGAGTTAATTGTGTTGCATTTTTAAATAAATTATTTTTTGTTTAATATAGTTGGAATTTAAAAAAATCGGTGGTTCGCGAGAACATGTTCATTTACTAGTGAGTTTGATGCTACAAACGCTGAAGAAATAGAAATATATTTACTTTAAAAGAATGATCCTTTTTTTTAAAAAAAGAAAAATATATTAAGTGCTTAAAATATGCAAAAACCATGAAACAATCGCTTTCGTTTTACTAAAATATACATTTCTTACAACTAATATAACAAAGTAAAAAAGTACAATTTAGGATTTTAAAATATAATATGCTGGTTTTTGTGGTACAGAGGCCTAAAAGAAAGAAAGAGAAAATTGGAATAAACAGCAGGAAATAATGAAGAAAATACCAGCATAAATTATCGATTGAATGTAGGAATAATAATTTTATAAGGATTTTTAAGAAAAAAATGTGTTAGAGGGCAAGATGATGTGGTAATGTTGACACAACTGCTCTACGTAAAATGGTAGGGTCGGGTCCCTTGTTAGTGAATATGGTCAATTCCAAGAACCATAAATGGACAAGCAGCCAGACCATTTTTACGCGCATTTAAAGTACGTCTGATACAATACTATTGCAATCATTTACCTTAATTGTCACTCTCCTCGTCGTTTTCTCTGAACTCTACGTTTGCTCTCTTACGACCAGCTAGAAATGAAAGAAAGTAAAAGAGAATGGTGAATATCCTGTATACCTCGCTTAAGGTAATGCGATCGTGCGTGATCGATTCAAGGGAGAGACCGAACAATACAGTAGAGTAGAGTAGAGTAGAGTAGAGTAGAGTAGAGTAGAGTAGAGTAGAGTAGAGTAGAGTAGAGTAGAGTAGAGTAGAGTAGAGTAGAGTAG